GAAAGATCAATGTTCAAAGATCAGGCCGCCCAAATTGTCAGTCAAAACAAATTATCATGAGTATTCGATCCACGGATGTTCTTGTTAAAGCCCATCGCCTATGACCACAGGACTACTGAGTTATCTGGGATCGCAAAATGTTGCTGTGGCTCTGGTTGGCAATGGCACCGACGATGCGTCACTCAACACAGAACCCGCAGCTACGGTGCACAGTGGGGCAGAAACCGGCGGAGGCGGCCAAAATTCGAGACGTGTTTTGAGCTCCAGAGTCGCTAAATGGGACTCAAACCAAACGTGTGACCCCACCAACGGATTGCTCTCCGAACGAGGAATCCATTGGTGGGGTCACACGTTTGGTTTGAGTCCCATGTAGTGACTCTAGAGCTCAAAACACGTGTAGAATTTTGGCCGCCTCCACCGGTTTCTGCCCCACTGTGCGATGCCGTGCGCTCTGCTCCGCCATCAACAGTGCGGTAGCTCACTGGTCTCCGTGCCTGGCGGCTGGATATTAAGTCGGGTTCAGGGGCTTAACTCCCCGTGACGCGAAAAGTTTCTTCTCCCAAAGTATTGTCTGATATTGTTGTTCTGCCAGAAAATGGACAGGGGACATTTGGGGCACAAGGAAAGGGAGCGAGCTCGTTTTTTTTACGCATCCCCTCTCATTCGTCGATAAAGGCGTCCCGGCAACATTCTATTTTTCAGGGGAAGAGAGTAGCCAAGTTGGCACAGTCACGGGCTCGTAATACCCCTGTCCGTGGTTCAGAAACTCATTTTTGTTTAGCAAACATATGTTAAAGTGACAAGATCATTTGCTCTTATGACAAGATCCTGATTTAAAGAAAATTTTCAAGCACTTAAGAGCTTGTAGAACAAGAGCGCGTTTTTCTGGGTGTGCGACGATGACTGCAGTAGCTAGAGCAGTGCTAGGTCGTGTGCGCGTCGCATGGCGTGACTCACCTGGACCGCCTTTGACCCTGCGTGACCCCGCGCTGCGTAGTGCAGCCCACTTACATCAGTGGGCTGCACTACTCTACAAAACCCCAGAGAGTACATAGCATGCTTCAGGTTGAAGCATGCCTGCATTTACACTCCACTCTGCAGCATGCTTGCTACACGCCACGTTGGAGCATGCTTGCCAAGTACACGCGAGATAGCGTCTACCTGCATGTACACTGTTGCTCTGCTTTACATGCATTAAGGTCGGAAACTTCAGTGTACATGCACGGAGTGTACATGCCAGGTATGCTCCGCTCCAGGTGGAGTGTACACTCTTGAGTTTCTAAAGTTAAAACCGCAGGTACAACCCAGTGTGGAAGTAGCCGCAAAGGGATGCGATGGTCGAGAGGAGCGCAGCAACTCACATCGAGACGATATGACGCGAAACAGACGGTAGGCGTTTCCATGCGGTCTTCGCTTCTTGACCTGAGTGCTGCCCATCGATGAGCCTTTTTACACAACTCAAAATCAAGAAGACCGAACGATGAAAAGATCCTGCGGAGTAAGGCGGTTGCCGGCTAGAGTTTAGTCCGTTTGTCGTCTCTTGGTCGCTTACCTTGCGTCCGTTCGGGCCGCGAAGAGACTAAAGCGGATATGCATACATCTATAAAAACATCAACTACAAAACGGTCCGCCGGCTGATGAGTCAGTTACCACATAAAAACTTAATTGTAGAGCCGAGCCATGCTGACGCCCAGCGCCGCTCATTGTCGCGCACGCACGCGATGGTGTGCCTCTCTTCACTTCGCTTCGCCGTGTGGCTCTACACAATTATTATGGAATGAGCGTTAGGTTTCTGAACTCGAGAGTTCGAGCTTGCTGAGGCCTTAATGTTGTGTAGTTATTCAATGTATGGTTGTAGGTTATAATATATCATCTGCTGAACTCAGCAACAACTTTAATCCACTCAGCAAACTCAATAGTGTACTCAGTACACACTCTTAGGCGTGTACTCGCGAGAACACTTCTATGAGCGTATACTCATGTAAGTACACTCCCATGAGCGTGTACTCATGGAGTACAATCCCAGGACTCAAATGGGTACACGCTCATCGGAGTGTACTCAGATGAGTACACACTGAAGGGAGTGTACTGAGTACACTGTTGAGTTAGCAGAGCAGCGGAAAGTAGCTGACAGTATCATTGGGCGCAACGTAAGATCACGCGAGGAAACACATGCCATGCAGCTGGCCCTTGTTGCAATCCTACTCCAGTCACTCGATGTGGTTTCATACTCTACAAAATCAAGTGCTTACCGGATGTTTCAAGTTTAAGCATGACTGCTGTACACTCCACGCTGGAGCATGTCTCGCATGTACACTCCAGGTGGTAGTACATGCTTGCAAAGTACAAGCCAGGTGGCGCATACCTGCACCAACACTGCTCCTATAGTTCACTATCTTTTGTATGTAAAGGAGTTTCTCATACCCGAAAACCCCCGGTTGTAGACTTTGGCGCAGATAGTTGCTCTACAAACTAGCATGGCACACTCCAATGAGGTATGTGTGCGCTTGAATCGAGCATTCTGCGGTTTACACACAAGCTTAAGACCAGCATTCTGCGATGTACACATATGCTACGGCCCAGCATTTTGCGGATTACACACAAATGCATTTATTGCAGTCGACAGAAAAGGTGGGGCCCAACATGTTGCAACGATTTGTAAGATTGCTACGCTGGTTTGGCTGCGCTAAGCTGAGCAGGTCACGCTGTGACTAGGCCTGTAAAGGATCGGATTATGCACAACCCGTGATGCTAACTCACGCAGCCAACGTCTCCATATGATTGCCAGGGGCGGATCCAGACCAAAAGTTGCCTACTTAGAGGGGCAATGTGCGACTTTTTGCCTACCTTTCAGGCGGGAGGCGACGCCCGCATCGCCACCCCCCACCCCGGGGATCCACGCCTGATGATTGCCTGCAGGCGCCTGCCATGCCATTCAGCTGCACCTGCCAATCCGTTATCGGGCCTAACGAGCCGGACAACTCAAACGGTCATAGGTTTTGTCGTTCCGAAGCGTGTGCCTTGCAGCATGCAGTCCTGGTTAGTCACTTTGCTGGAAACAGTGTGCCTGCCAAGCTCACTGCTCATTGGAGTGTGCATGCCATGCATGCTCGAGGTGGAGTAAGCCATGCACACTGTGCAGTTTGTTGAATGTACATTGAGCGGCTCCCCCTGTCGAGTTCTGGATCCGACCCTGGCGTTCATTTATAGGGGTTGATTTTGGTAGAAATGAGTTTTCCATACCCGAAAACCCCCGGGTGTAGACTTTGGCGTTGATAGTAGCACACTGAACGCTTCGCTGAGACTTTGACCGCAAAATGCTTTGAGGTGACGCCCACGATTTGTGTAAACGCGAGTTTCAGCGCCGCCCTGGTGGTTAAAACCGGAACTAGGGAACTTGGCCACCAACATCATAATGCGGTGAGAAAATGCGGTCGACCGCATTTTGCTACAAAACCGCACTTTGCGGGACCCGTATACGAGTGTAACCGCATAATGCTGCAGCTACCAACTCACACACACACACACACACACACACACACACACACACACACACACACACACACTCATCACTAGCAAGAAGGGTGAACACGAAGCGGAATATACACGGCGGAATAATAACGTAAAATCACTGCACTGACGCGATCATTATTGACTGGCCTGAGCAAACTCAGAAACATACTCACCGAGGGCGGGGTGCGCGGAGAAAACGGCGCCGGAGGCGCCTCTTCTGGAGAGTGCGGCGAGAACGGCGGTCGGGGCGCCTCTTCAGGGGACCGACTCCTCGACGACCTCGACGAGTGACTCGTCGAGGTCGTCGAAGAAGAACTTGACGACGAACTTGTTGAAGATGAGGAGGACGAAGAAGACGAACTAGTTGAGCTGGAACTAGTAGAAGAGCTCGAGGAGCTCGACGAGCAGCGCGCACGGGAGCACATGGTGCATCTACAACAGCACATGGCAGACTGACGGCCAAGTCCTGGTCACCAGGACCCGAAGGCTACCCGGCCAAGGGCTACCCCTCGAGGGCCCCCGGGAAAACAAGGGCTCCAGTGCACGTGAACGTCGTGCCGGGCACGACTATAAAACAAACGGCGCCCGCGTCGAAGGCTTGATGGATTTTCCGCGGAGGCGGGCCTCATTCACGCCTCAGCCGCGGGACCGCGCGCACGCAGAACCAAAACAAACTCCGTCTTTTATTTCGACTCAAAAGCTCGTAAAAGAAAAATGTCCACACTAAACGGAACCATGGACGCAGAGGGAAACGCGGAGGGAAACGCCGAGGAAAGCCCACCGATGGATGGAATGATAGCAATTTGTGCTGTCATTATGATCTGCGCCCTCTTGATTCAATGCTTTGAGGGCATCTGCGAGCATCGTCCACATGAAGTTTCCCAATCGAGTCCTAATGAGATCGAGAGAGGACAAGCAGCAGGGTCACACACCGTAGAAAACCAGACTGCACCCATGCAATGCGGAGTGAGTGAGACAGACGAAGTGGAAGTGACAAGTAACCCTGGCGGCAGTGCGACGGAGTCAGACGAAGGAGCAAGCGAGACGGACGACGAGGCGACGAAAGGGGGACAAGAGGGGACGAGAGGACCAGTCCGCCCCGTCGGCAGTGCGACGGAGACTGACGAAGGAGCAAGCGAGACGGACAACGGGGGTAGGAGGGGGGGAGGGCCAGACCGGCCCGTCGGCAGTGCGACGGAGACTGACGAAGGTGGAAGAGAGACGGAGAGTGAGGGGGCGAGAGGGGGCTGGGGCGGAGGCTCAGGCCGGCCCGGCGGCAGCGTGACGGAAGGTGGGTGCTGGCGAAACGAGAAGGGGGAGAGAGGGGACGGGGGGGAGGGGACTGTCGCAGGGATCTGAGCGGACGCACCGCTGATTGGACTGCCAAGTGAGCCGCCGAGCGCGGTAGCGGGTGCCCTCAGGAACAAGAGCAGACGCAGGCAGTCACACGCGCCACTCAACACGCGACACTCACACAGGACACTACCATGGAGCCAACACTGGACACGGAGCGAGAGGAAACACTTCCACCCACGGACTCCGACACGGAAGCCAATCCACTCCTTGGGACTACAGGGGCCGTTGAGGATTTCACCACTAACACTAGAGACATTCCTGCGGCCCCCGAGGATCCACATCAGGCAACGCCTGTAGAGCAGGACACTCTGGAGAGCGACACGGACTCAGGCTTCGACGGAGGCGATACTGTGGTATTTCGGTTGGAAGTCAATCCCATTTATCGCCATCCTCCAGCAGGGCTAATCAGCGACTTGGACACCAATCCAGTGTACGAATACGACGAGCCTCCAGTATTTGATCGCGAAACTGAGGACCTCATATCAGAATTCGCACAAGCAACTCGGCCACTTGATCATATCACTCAAACCAATGGACTGTACGACCCGTTTGCAGTGCAACACAATATTCTACCATTCATAACACCTCTCTACCCTAAATATTCCACACTGGAAAGCAGAATGAACACATTCGATTCTTGGCCCAAAGATGCACATGTCTCGTCAAAAGCACTAGCTGAAGATGGCTTCTATTACTTGGGACATTCTGACATTGCCATGTGCTTCCACTGTGGCATGTCATTATGCCACTGGGCGAAAGACGATGTTCCTCCATTCGAACACGCGACTTTTTCCCCTTATTGTGGTTTTCTTTTGCGGAACCATGGAAGAAAATTTGTGGACCAAGTTCAAAACGTGTTACACTCTGTAAAAGATGTTCCAGAACATTTCAGTCACATCATTAAGAAGCACTTACCTGAAGAGGTGGTGTCGCAGCACACTCAACAAGGTCCGAGTAACACTCATGAAAAAGGTCAATGTCAAATCTGCTGTGAATACGATGCAAACGTCGTAGTTCTTCCCTGTGCACACCTTTACACCTGTACACTTTGCCTCCCCGCGCAAACAAAGTGCGGAGTTTGTAGAGAAACAATCCAGTTTACACTACGAGTATTTGTTTGAGTGTTTGAAAATTATCCTGTACCAACTATTTAGATTTTTAATTTTTGTCACAATCATCAAACTGTACAAACCTTTTTTCAATGAATAAAACTATGAAATGAATACCAAGTCTCTTTTTCATTGCTCACCAAAGCACATCACGCCTGATGGTGAGGCAACCCGAATAATATGCACGATGTGCCTGGTTGAAGTCAACCCGTTGCAAGGATGCTGGGGCAGGGCCGGGGTTGGAGGGAGCACGAATACGGGAGCGCCTGATGGGTAGGCAACCAAATGAAAACAGGAGGCGCCTGGTTTCAGTCAACCCATTGCAAGGATGCTTGGCAGGGCCGGGTTGGGAGGGCAACCGGGGGGGCACGAATACGGGAGCGCCTAATAGGTAGGCAACCAGGTGCACGGACCCGAGCTCAGCGCCTGATGAGTAGGCAGCCCGCAACCTCACGGCCTTGGGAACGGCATTCACGTAGAGGAGTTTCGGAGTCGGACGGGTGCAGGCTTGCATTGCCCCTGCCCCCTGGCAGGGTAGGCAATGCAAGTTTGTACCCGTCTAACTACTGGCGACGATGACTTTTAAGGAGATTCTTTAGCGTCGTGCTACGTGAAGTGCCGAAAACACGAAAAGTCAAAGTCGAATTTCGCGTTCCTATTGAAGCAGAGGACCGATTTAGAGCGTGCCCTTGCGATCCCGCATAGTCCCAGTGCGATTGGCGACGATGACTTTTGAGGAGATTCTTTCGCGTCGTGCTACGTGAAGTGTCGAAACACGGAAAGTCAAAGTCGAATTTCACGTTCTTTTTGAATCAGAGGACCGATTTAGAGCGTGCCCTTGCGATCCAGCATAGTCCCAGTGCGATTGGCGACGATGACTTTTGAGGAGAGTCTTTAGCGTCGTGCTACGTGAAGTGCCGTAAACACGGAAAATCAAAGTCGATTTTCCCGTTCCTTTTGAAGCAGAGGACCGATTTAGAGCGTGCCCTTGCGATCCCGCACAGTCCCAGTGCGGTTGGCGACGGTGACTTTGAGGAGATTCTTTAGCGTCGTGCTACGTAAAGTGCCGAAAACACGAAAAGTCAAAGTCGAATTTCGCGTTCCTATTGAAGCAGAGGACCGGTTTAGAGCGTGCCCTTGCGATCCCGCATAGTCCCAGTGCGATTGGCGACGATGACTTTTGAGGAGATTCTTTAGCGTCGTGCTACGTGAAGTGCCGAAAACACGCAAAGTCAAAGTCGAATTTCGCGTTCCTATTGAAGCAGAGGACCGATTTAGAGCTTGCCCTTGCGATCCCGCATAGTCCCAGTGCGATTGGCGACGATGACTTTTGAGGAGATTCTTAAGCGTCGTGCTACGTGAAGTGCCGAAAACACGAAAAGTCAAAGTCGAATTTCGCGTTCCTATTGAAGCAGAGGACCGATTTAGAGCGTGCCTTTGCGATCCCGCATAGGCCAAGTGCAATTGGCGACGATGACTTTTGAGGAGATTCTTTAGCGTCGTGCTACGTAAAGTGCCGAAAACACAAAAAGTCAAAGTCGAATTTCGCGTTCCTTTTGAAGCAGAGGACCGATTTAGAGCGTGCCCTTGCGATCCAGCATAGTCCCAGTGCGATTGGCGACGATGACTTTTGAGGAGAGTCTTTAGCGTCGTGCTACGTGAAGTGCCGTAAACACGGAAAATCAAAGTCGATTTTTCCCCTTCCTTTTTAAGCAGAGGACCGATTTTGAGCGTGCCCTTGCGATCCCGCACAGTCCCAGTGCGGTTGGCGACGGTGACTTTGAGGAGATTCTTTAGCGTCGTGCTACGTAAAGTGCCGAAAACACGAAAAGTCAAAGTCGAATTTCGCGTTCCTATTGAAGCAGAGGACCCGGGTTTTGAGCGTGCCCTTGCGATCCCGCATAGTCCCAGTGCGATTGGCGACGATGACTTTTGAGGAGAGTCTTTAGCGTCGTGCTACGTGAAGTGCCGAAAAAAAGAAAAGTCAAAGTCGAATTTCGCGTTCCTATTGAAGCAGAGGACCGGTTTAGAGCGTGCCCTTGCGATCCCGCATAGTCCCAGTGCGATTGGCGACGATGACTTTTGAGGAGATTTTTTAGCGTCGTGCTACGTAAAGTGCCGAAAACACGAAAAGTCAAATTCGAATTTCGCGTTTCTATTGAAGCAGAGGACCGATTTAGAGCGTGCCCTTGCGATCCAGCATAGTACCAGTGCGATTGGCGACGATGACTTTTGAGGAGATTCTTTAGCATCGTGCTACGTGAAGTGCCGAAAACACGGAAAGTCAAAGTCGATTTTCGCGTTCCTATTGAAGCAGAGGACCGATTTAGAGCGTGCCTTTGCCATCCCGCAGAGTCCCTGTGCGATTAGTGTCGGTGACTTTTGAGGAGATCCTTCAGCGTCGTGCTACGTGAAGTGCCGAAAACACGCAAAGTCAAAGTCGAATTTCGCGTTCCTATTGAAGCAGAGGACCGATTTAGAGCTTGCCCTTGCGATCCCGCATAGTCCCAGTGCGATTGGCGACGATGACTTCTGAGGAGATTCTTTAGCGTCGTGCTACGTGAAGTGCCGAAAACACGGAAAGTCAAAGTCGATTTTCGCGTTCCTTTTGAAGCAGAGGACCGATTTAGAGCGTGCCTTTGCTATCCCGCAGTGTCCCAGTGCGATTGGCCACGATGACTTTTAAGGAGATTCTTTTGCGTCGTGCTACGTGAAATGCCGAAAACACGAAAAGTCAAAGTCGAATTTCGCGTTCCTATTGAAGCAGAGGATCGGTTTAGAGCGTGCCCTTGCGATCCCGCAGAGTCCCAGTGCGATTGGCGACGATGACTTTTGAGGAGATTCTTTAGCGTCGTGCTACGTGAAGTGCCGAAAACACGAAAAGTCAAAGTCGAATTTCGCGTTCCTATTGAAGCAGAGGACCGATTTAGAGCGTGCCCTTGCGATCCAGCATAGTCCCAGTGCGATTGGCGACGATGACTTTTGAAAAGATTCTTCAGCGTCGTGCTACTTGAAGTGCCGAAAACACGCAAAGTCAAAATCGAATTTCGCGTTCCTATTGAAGCAGAGGACCGATTTAGAGCGTGCCCTTGCGTTCCCGCACAGTCCCAGTGCGATTGGTGTCGATGACTTTTGAGGAGATTCTTTAGCGTCGTGCTACGTGAAGTGCCGAAAACACGGAAAGTCAAAGTCGAATTTCGCGTTCCTATTGAAGCAGAGGACCGATTTAGAGCGTGCCCTTGCGATCCCGCATAGTCCCAGTGCGATTGGCGACGATGACTTTTGAGGAGATTCTTTAGCGTCGTGCTACGTAAAGTGCCAAAAACACGGAAGGTCAAAGTCGAATTTCGCGTTCCTATTGAAGCAGAGGACCGATTTAGAGCGTGCCCTTGCGTTCCCGCTCAGTCCCAGTGCGATTGGTGTCGATGACTTTTAAGGAGAGTCTTTAGCGTCGTGCTACGTGAAGTGCCGAAAACACGGAAAGTCAAAGTCGAATTTCGCGTTCCTATTGAAGCAGAGGACCGATTTAGAGCGTGCCCCTTTCGATCCCGCATAGTCCCAGTTCGATTTGGGGACGATGACTTTTGAGGAGATTCTTTAGCGTCGTGCTACGTGAGTGCCAAAAACACGGGGAAATCAAAGTCGAATTTCGTGTTCCTGTT